CACTGACTGATGTCTTTTCCCAAGGACATGTTGTCAGGAGAAGCCAAAATGGAGAGCCACATTTAATCCATTTTTTTATTGAAAACAGGGCTTCACTACCTCTGTGTCACTGACATTTTGGACTTCACAGTTTCCCTTTTCTGTAAGGAAGGCAGTGTGGGTGTTTAGCAGCATCCCCAGGCTACAGCCACTAGATGCCAGTATCCTTCCTCCTCTCCCCAGTAACGATATCCAAGATGTCACCAGATATTGCCACATGTCTCCTAGAGGCCAAAACCACACTCTTATAGACAACTAGTGCTTTAAATATGACCTATAGATAACTTGGGCTTGCACATCAGAGAGGGGAAAAGGTCTGGAATGACATGCCCAAGTTCAAACAGTCATTCTAGGCAACAGGATTGTTTGGAGAAACCAATGTTTCTTTATTCCATAAGCCCCTCTGCTGTTTGAAGACACCATGTTGATTCACTGGATGAGAGTTGAGTGGTTGAAGAGAAAGAGCTGCTGTTCAAATTTACCAGGTGCTCCCAGGAGAGAGCTGAGACAGGTTGCCTCTGTGAAAATTTATAGCCTTGAGAATTTATAGAGCGGTTCTATTCTGCCGTTGGGGGTCACTAAGAGTACGGATCTACTTGATGACAGAATGTACCTGTACATTTCTTTTTTACAAACCAAGCCTATTGCTGCTGAGACTATTCGGATTCACAGAGACCTTCCCTCAGGTTTCCAAGGCTGAACATTTTTACAGAAGTAGATTGCCTTTTCTTGAATGCCAATCTTTCTCCTAAGAAGTTGGTGAATTCAAACTACTGACAACACATAACACACTATACCACTACAGCTTTTTACTTTTTTACAAAGTATATATTTCTTTTTATAGAGAGAGCTCTGTTGGCCTAGTGGATAGAAAGTTATGCTACTAAGCCAAAGGTGGGTGATTTTAATCCACATCCCTCAGGCCTGGTTTTGTTTTGGTCAAGCATTCTTCTAAGTGGTATAGCACTGGTATGTGCATTGCTGTACAGAGGTAATTCATGGTTTCTGTAATGATGAACACTGGTGACACTTATGTGTTAAATGCAATAATGGTTACTCATGGTAGACAGTGTTTGGTGGAGCTTTCTGATTAAAACAAGCATGAAAGCAGGAGTGGCATCCACTTCTGAAATAGCTTGCCTCCAGAAACCCTATGAACTTGGAGAAACAATTAAAGTTATATGACTGTTCAGGTCTTTTGTTCCTAGGGTTGCTGTGAGTTGTCTACGATTTGACAACCAGAGTGCACCTTAGAGGAAAGGCCTGTGAAATTTCAACTCACATACTTTGAGTATGTGGTCAGGAGGGGTCCTTGGAGACAGACATCGTGCTGGAAGAGGTGGAGGATCAGTGAAAGAAAGGAAGACCCTCAATGAGGAAGAGTGACCCAGCGGCTGTAACAAAGGTCTGGAGTATATCAAAGATGGTGAGCACAGCGCAGGACAGAGAAGGGTTTTCGTAGGGTTGCTATGAATCATGGTCAACTTGATGGCACTTAACAACAGCAATAATATATTAATTCTGTAATTAAGTAAAAGAAATCTCCATTTCTATTCCACTCTTGAATACAGACAAACACAATCACAAAGAAAAGAGAGACTAGCAGGCAGCTAAAAATAATCAGTTAGGATTTTATTGGAAAAGAGACACAACCAGGTCCTACCTGGAAAGGAAAGTTCTTGAGATGACTCACTATGGTTGTTGGTGGAGGCAGATACCAAGGAGTTGGGACTGACCCATAGCGGACTCGCAGAAGGGTTTTCTAAGGCAGCTAATCACACGGGAGGAGAGTGCTCATCTTTTTTTAAAATAATTTTTTAAATTTTATTTTATATTGGTTTGTATACTGTTTGTATACACTGCATTTCACATTATCCTGCTCTCACATTGTGTTCACACAATCATTCCATTCATTGCGCTTTATAAAATTAATCACCAGTGACTACATCCACCAGTACCCCGTCTTCCCAGATCCCTACCAGATCTTTCCCATTTCTTTTACCCTCTCCCTCCACCTACTATACTGTGTGACCTTATGATTTCCCCTCTGTCCATCCTCACCCCTCTGTTCCTACCCCTTCTCCTCTTGGATCCCCATACACGTTTTACTAGTTATCCCTCCATTTTTTACAATAATGGTCTTATGCAGTATTTGTACTTAAGAGACTGAGTTAGTTTATTCAGCATAGTGTTTTCCAGTCTCTCTCAAGTTATGTATTAATTTTCTAAACCATTGCTCCTGAGTGCTGTGTAGTATTCCATCACATGAATATACTACAATTTCTCAATCCATTCTATTCTGGGTGGACATTTGGGTTGTTTCCATGTTCTGGCAATCATGAACAATGCTGCTATGAACATTGGTATACAAATCATAAATTGTGCCTCAGTTCTAATTTCCTTGGGGTATATTTCTAGCAGTGGAATAGCTGGCTTATATGGAATTTTTATGTTCAGCTTTTTAAAGTCATGCCAATTTGTTTTCCAGAGTGGTTGTATCATTTTACAGAGATTGCCCATCTTTCTCCCACAGAGCAGCTGGTGGATTCGTACTACAAGCCTTCAGCAGTGCAGCACAGTTTCTTACCACTAGACTACCACTAGACTCACTAGTGAGACATAATTTTACTGAGAGTTCATGAATCAACTATTTGGAGTCTTACTAAGCCATGTAGCAACTATATCTGAGAAACTATGGGATGTTTACCCTCTATACTTTTGTACCCTTCTGCTTCACATCCCATATCCAGAAGAAAGGAGTAATCTTCCTTTCCACAAGAGTCCTTGATGGAATAAACAGTTAAAACACTCAGCAGTTAACATAAAGTTTAGAGGTTCAAGTCCACCCAGAAGCACCTAAGAAAATTGAGGTGATTTTCCAAAAATATTAGTCACTGAAAACTCCACAGAGCACAGTCATATTCTGACACACTTGGGGTCACAGTAAGTCAGAGATGTTTAGATGGCATCTGGCACTACTGTGCCTTTCCGTACAGACTGTATAAGGGTAGACCAGGAGAGAACCACAAAGTCATTTCCCATTATCAGATTTGATACCACATGAATAAGTGATGACATTCTCATTAATACAGGCTTTTATGCTTTTAAAGCTATCATTTAATCAATGTCTTGCCTAATGTGGACATTTCTGCATTTGGGGAATCCCAGAATTCTTAGCTTTCTTCATAATTTTGAAGAATTCCCTCCAGGAATATTTTTCCAATTTGCTCACTGATACATATTCATGGGGAAAACAATAAAGCAGATTTCCACACACAAACATTCCCCCAATAGATTATTCTAGAAAAATCATTAAGGTTTGTTCAGAAATTATTAGGTATGTTGCCTGTCCAATTTTTATGACATTCACCCACCCTCCATTGAGTTATTTGAAACTCACGTCACATTTTCTAAAGGAAAAGCAAACCTGGATTGTATATTCAAACTATAAAACATGTATCCTCTCACATTTGTGCTAGCCAGTGACATATCAGACATTCACTGTCCATACTATATTGACTAAGGGAATTGTGGTTTTGGAACATTTTGAAAAATGGCAAAGGAGAATTCACTCAGCCATCTATGCCAGTCTTTTAAAGTTATTGGAGACAGTTTGTGAACTGAGTTATGACTATGTTCATAACGTCTTCCTTTACATTCTTTTATCATTATTTGTTTCCTGGATAGAATAACAATGAAGTCTGAATTTTTGCCTCACAAGATACTCATAAATATTTCTATGCCAAATTTGGGGACAAAGTCGTTTTGGTTTTCCCCCTTCCACTTTGACTCAGCTTCTTAAAGGCATTTGGCTTTGATTTCTTTGGTGATATTTTACCCCTCTAAAATGTCACCTTTCTAAAAAGAAAATCTCTAATATCATGCCATTGATTAAAAAATGAAGTCCTTTCTGTTTTTTCTACCCCACCCCACCCCATTTTCTCTGAATCTACACATATATGATCAAGATTTGCCATTTACTGGGACTTCAAAATCATGCTTCATACAAATTCTTTAAACAAACAAAAACCCAGTAGTTTACAGCTTTGTCTTGTATACAACACAGGAGGATCTATGAAACAAAGGGCTAATTATCTGGTTACTACTGCTTGAATTAAGCTCCCTCTCCCATCCCAAAAATATGCATTCAGCTTCTGGCTCTTGCCCCTGTGAATGCGATCCTGTTTCTAAAACTGACTTTTCTTTTGTTATATTAATGAGGGCATAGCATTAATGTGTCTGCAAAATCTAATTACTTCTGAGCTATAAAAACACCAGAATAGACACAGAGACACAAAGGACAGAAGACAGATACCATATGAGAATTGTCTATAGACCAAAGAATGTTAAGGAACTGGAGAAACCAACAAAAAGAATCTACATGGTCAAGATCCCGGCTTGAACTTTTAGCCACCTTAACTATTAAAAAAAAAGTCTGCTCTTTAAAATATCATTTGTATTACAACAGCACTAATAACTAAATCAGTGCTTAATGCATAAACAGAGAAAAAGTATTAACTATCATCTATCAATTCCTCTCCCCTCCTCCCCCCGACACACAGTATATACACAAACAAATGAACAAATCCTCTCTAGATAGATTAAGTCTGGATAGATTGAGGGACTTGTGGGATAGACAAGGAGTTCAGATGCTGAAGTAAGAAAGAGTTTATGATGGTGTTATTCCGCTGTTTATCTTTTCTCAGTGTACTTGAGACTTTAATATGGTCTCATGGCTAATGGAGGATTTATTTTCTTAAGAGGTATTTGTATCATATAAGAACAGAAAGCATCAATAGGCAGACCTAGGTGATTGCAGATAGCCTGACCCAGAGGCATTTCTGCCCTCCTGAGAACCACGTAATGGGAAGAGTCCATACTCGGCGCCATCGTGGACAGGCAACAAAAGGCCCCGTGAGCTCCAAACAACATCTCAGCATCCATTTCAGAAGTATACTCACGATTTTCACAGTGCTGCCCGGTGTAGCCTGCCAGGCAGGCACACTTGTAAGAGCCAGCTTTGTCAAGGAGGCACGTGCCATCATGGAAGCAAGGAGAGGAGGAACATGCTGTAAGAGAGAAGGCAAGTTCTCTCAGTGCCACTCAGCAGTGACTCGGTATTTACACACACACACACACACACACACACACACACACACACACACACACATATCTTAAAAACTCAAACCCATTACTGCTGAGTCAGAACTGACTTGTACTTGACCCTCCAGTGGGTTTTCTAAGGTTATAAATGTCATGAGAGGAGATTGTTAGTCTTCTATCATGGACTTGCTGGTGGGTTTGAACCACCTGCCCTTGAGTTCACACCCTAACTCCTTACCCACTAATCCACTAGAAAATACACACACACACACACACACACACACACACACACACACACACAGAGTCACACAGTTATATATTTTTCATTGGTTTTGCTTATCTAGAGAACCCAGCCCAAGATACTATTCTATGAAAGTTTTCTTATCTTTTTCAAATATCTTATTAGATTCATGTTAGCATTACTTGTTTTCATTGCTGTTGTTAGGTGCCACTGAGTCAAGTACAATTCGAGGTGACGTTATGAACAACAGATCTGAACCCTGTGCTATCTTGTGCCTTTTTCATCATCTCTGACACACTTGAGCCCATTGCATAGGCAATGTGTTAGACTATCTCATTAAAGGTCTTCCTCTCTTTTGCTGACTCTCCACCTTTTCAAGCATAATGTCCCCTTTTAAGGAATAGCCTTTCCTAGCAACATGCCCAAAATATGTGAGATGAAGTTTCCCCATCCATGCCTTTAAGTAGCATTCTAGCTGTACTTTTCCCAAGATATTTTTGGTGGGGTTGTTTTGTGTGTGTGTGTATGTGTGTGTGTGTGTGTGTGTGTGTGTGTGTGTTTTCTTTCAGCCCATGAGAGATTCAAGAGCTCTTCTCCAGCACCACAACTCAAAGACATCACTTCTTCTTCTGTCATCCATATTCATTAGCCGGCTCTCAGAGCACAGCATGATGCAAGTGATTGAAAGACCATGGCCTTAATCATTAAGTAGGAAGCAGGGAGCTCTGGTGGCTTAGTGGTAAGGAATTGTGAAGGAGCTTTGGTGGCCTAGTGGTAAGAAGCCGCTCTGTAGGAGGAGGATGGGAAATCTCCTCCTGTTTCCTTAACTGCCTCTGAAAGCCTGTCGTAGGGTCAGCTATGGGTTGGTTCCAAGTCGATGGCATACAACAACAAAAACAATGCAAAAGTATAAGGTACCTGGTTTGAATCCACCAGCTGCTCCATGGGAGAAAGATGAGCCATATCCGCCCATGTGATTTACTGCCTCTGAAAACATGCTAGGGGCCAGTTATGCATCGGTTCCAACTCAACGGTACACAGAAGAGCAGCATTTAGGAATTAGGCATTATCGAGGAATCAATATTTAGACATTGGACATTATTTAGGAATTGGGCAATACTTAGGAATGCCTAAACCAGGCAGATGTTGGTGACCCAGTGACATCATTTTCACCTTCATTCCAGGAGGCCAAGGTTGATTGTTGCATGCACCTCCGTGGGCAGCACTGCCAGCCTGTTAGCCAAGGCTTACCTGATGTTCTAAATCACAACAGATTTATAATCCCCTCATTCAGGACCGGATCTGCTAGGGGAACAAAGCCAGTACCCTTAACCATAAGAGGTCCCAACATGAAAGCTGCAAAGGCACACGACTTGTACACAAATTCCTTGGTCTACCCCTCAAAGCCGTGTGATCTTGGGAAAAGTACTCAACCTCTCTGTGCTTCAAGTACCACCTCTGTAAAAAGGCAATAATAACTCTTATTTCTTGTGCTGGGCAAGTCTTTCTAAAACACTCATCGTGGTTTCTTTCTTGCTTTCCGTATGTAGGTTGTTTCTGAAAGCTCAGCACGCTAGGTTTTAATGAGCTTGAGCAGGGAGAAAGGGAGTTACACAGAAAGAGAGAAGTGTAGAGATCAGAGCCACAAAGTGCTATATTTGTCCCCATGGCTTTTACCTGTAATCTCTTCAAAAATGGCATGGAAGCCATCAAAGTTCTTGGAGCCATCAGAATGGAAGAGGATGTGGAGTGAGGAACCTGTGCTCTGGATGGGAGCCGGCCGCTCGTTGCCACAGAAACGTTTGATGATCTGCCCATCACTGTTGTCCCTGTCACGAACCTCAACATAGTCATACTGGCACATGTAATCAAACTCCAGGCTCAGCATGACAAACCTGCGGGTGGAGACAGTACAGAAGGAAAGCACGGTCAATCTTAAGCTGTATCGCGTCCTCAAAGTCAAATGATCAGCAGGTCTTGAGAAAAGATGAGAGAGCTGGCCTGAACTGATGGGAAAATGGTCCTGGAGGACTTGAGATCCCTTTCTTTCTTAAGAGAGGTTTATGTCAGTGTACCAGATGCTCACATATGTATGTGTCCATGCATATACCCAGGTAGAGCAAGTGCCAGATCCCACTGCAAGAATCTTTACACATGTCAGCCTCTCTTCCAAGTTCTCTTTGTCTTTCATCCCACATGGCAGGGTCTTTATCAACCTTCAGTCTTCAACTTAAAAATCACCTCCTCACAAAATATTCCTAATCCCTTTTTCTAGGAGTGATTCCATGACTGACACAAATGTTAACTTCACATCTTGATCTTGTTGACTTGTCACCTCCTCTACTAGAGTGTGGACTCCTTGAGGGAAGGGGGGAACCTGCCTTGTCACCCCCATTGTGTGCACAGTGCCAGTACATCTTGTTGAGTGGATGCTTGAATAGATGATGTCATTATATCCCTGGAGAATGCAGAAAGCACCTGTTGTTTGACAAGATTAAGTAAAAGTGAAGAAAAGCTCAGTACACTCATATGTGCTTAAAGGATCAGAAAATAATTATCTTCTGAATAATAAGAATCTTCACTCCAAAGGGAATTTGTCCCATATCAAACTTTCATTTCAAGGACATGAGAGTCCTTAAATACTTGTATTTATCTAAAAGGATCTTGGGTTTGAAAACATTGAGATACAACAGCTCAGAAAAAGCAGATGACGTGATTTTGGGGCAGAGGTTTCAATGAAGAAATGGCCTCAGCTTTGTGAAGGTCACAGAGGAGAGTAGTCCAAGCAGAGGAAACTACAAGTGCAAGTTCCTAAGGCAGCAATGAACTTGGCACATTTGAAGAAATAACAGTAGGTCAGAGAATCTGCAGGATGGGTAGTAGTATGAAAAAAAAGGTCAGTGAGATGAGTAGGAAGACGATCCTGCATGGCCAAGGGTTCCAATTTTATTCCAACCACTAATAGTTTTCAACAAAGGAGTTTATGGTTTTAAAGGACCATTCTAACTATGCTGAGATGACATGACGGAGCTGGCAAGAATGGAGAGAAGGAAGACAGGGGTCACAGCAAAATCCAGATAAGAGAAGGAGGTAGTTTGACATGGAATGGTGGTAAAGGAGATGAGAAGGTATAAGCAGACTAGGGATTATTTTATATGTAAGGAAATAGATGCTTTGGCTTTAGTAGGTGATGGAAAGAGGAGTATCAAGGACAACTTCTAGAGCATTATGTATATGCTTCAGAGTGTTTCCCTCATTATCATCCCTGGCCAGAAGGTCCAGGTTTAACTCATTCATTGCCATTGAGTCTAAACTGACCCATAGTCGACATTCTAGCAGGTTTTCAAAGGCTATAAACCATATGGAAGGAGACTGCCCATCTCTCTCAGGAGAAGCAGCTGGTGGATTTGACCTACCAGCCTTTGGGTTGAGAGTACAACTCCTTGCCCATTGTACCACCACAGTTCCCCTAGGTTTAAGGAGTTGGAAAGAAATCTACATTACTTCCTAATTTTTCCCAGGGGCTGGGTGTCATTTCTGGCAGGTGAAGTGCTTCTCAAATCTTCTATTTTCGTTGTTGGGTTTTGTGTTTTTTTGTTTGTTTGTTTGTTTTAATTTAGGTTGTTTATTTTTCATTTCAAAGAACATCTATAGAGATTTTGGAATTCCATTCATTCATTGTTGC